TGGAATCTTTGCTATGTACGGAATCTCAGATTAGATAGCCCTTATCTGTTTTTGTTATTGATAAAACGGATTCAATCTATTTTGGGTCATATCGAAATAAATGTTCTTTGATGGGATCACCGAGGATTCGCAAATGAGGCATAGGTAGGTATTAAGGTTAAGCCAAAGTTAAGTGGAATGGGCATCGCAATGAGGGCTATCGTTTTTATACTTAACAGTTGGCACCAGCACTGGCAAGTGGTCAGTCAGTGGCACCACAGGCGAGCTGTGAGTGGCAGGACCTTACTCTATAGTAGCACCACTGGCGAATAACAGGACCTCTACAGTGGCACCACTGGCGAGTCAGTGACAGGACCTTACTCTTCAGTTCAGTGGCACCACAGGCGAGCTGTGAGTGGCAGGACCTTACTCTACAGTGGCTCCAACTGGTAAGAGCGAATACGATTGGGAGCAAATAGCATTGGGAATTTGAGAAAGGTTCTGCTCAGTTGGTATCTAATATAGCTTTGTATGTAATATAAATCTGCTTATGATGGCGCATTTTAATCCATTTATGTTTTGGAAAAATGAGCTCTATCCATCGCAAAATGACTACGGGCGGAGTAGGAACAGCCAAAAGCATACTACACATTTTTGTTGTAAAGTAGGACTTATTGCAATCACATAAGAACTCACAGTGTCAAGCTTGATGTGCTGTCGTCAGTACTAGCAAATCCAGCGTAAGAGCGTAACTAATGTTCGACCATTAGCTTATTCTTTGTGTTTCGCCGGCCTTTACTACGCTGGATTAGTTATACTAATTAGAAACAGACGATGGACGCTGGTATTGTGTTTGTAAATCATAAATAAAAAGATTTAACAAGCATATCCGTTGAAGTTCTTCGGTTTTTGGTTGTTTTTTTTTTTTTGGGTGTGTAGGTTTTACGGCCCTTGGTCAGAATCAGAATTTAAACAGTTATTTCTTTATTACACCTCAAAATGGAAGTTTCTAAGTTTACCCATGACTAGACTAGGCCACAAAAGAACCTATTTCTACCATCCAAAAATTACTTGAGGAAATGATAATACCTAGTTATTAGTTCAATCAAATGTACAGAAGATAATATTCTAATCATCTTCTTGAAAGGAGGAAAGTTCTCGAGTGGCGACCACGGGCTGGAAAACGTAGCGTGGGCAGGCCTCCTACTAGGTGGACCGACGATCTGGTAAAGGTCGCGGGAAGAGCCTGGATGCGGGCAGCGCAGGACCGTTCATTGTGGAAAACCTTGGGGGAGGCCTTTGTCCAGCAGTGGACGTCATTTGGCTGAAACGAACATCTTCTTGATAGATCCCTCCGTTGACCCACTGAAAACCATGGCAAGTTGTACCCTAGGCGGTGACTTAAATAACGTTGATCAGTACAAGCCAAACATCACAGAAAGAATGAAGTGGAGTGAAAACCCCCAGTTCCTGCTCATTAGGACATGGCTCAAGAGTACCGAAGCGGTGATGTGACCAGCGCCATGACATCAGTGCAGTATTTTTAAAAATACCATTCTTCTAAGATGCATGTTACACAGAACGAAGCTCCAAATTCGACTCAAATTTTAAGTATATACAGATAGATTGAGATGTAGCCAAAATGAGAAGTGGCCATAATGTTCTCATTAATGGACTACTTTTGTAGTCCATTAGCGATTCGGTTGCCATAATGAGAATTAGCCCTAATACGCCTAAAGGATTCTTTGGGTTATTGAATTTCAATATTTAAACCATCTACAAAGCTAAATATTATATGACTGCGACTGAATCTTGTTACTGTAAAATCTGAATAGTCATAGGAAACGTTATAAAATTCAAATCACCAGCCACACAGGGATCTTGTCAGGAATTTACATAAAGGCCACGAAATAAAACTAAGTGATATTTGATTGGGCCGTAACATTCCGCGATGGCTGCCAAAAGGCTTTTACTGGTTTTTTATTGCGTTAATTTTTCTCGTGGATGCCGAACGTTGTAAATTTTATTACTGCGTAATAGACAACCTTTTTGCTGAGTTCGAATTACGTACAAAAATAGCCAAAGCGAGCCATGCAAATGCAAAGGTTTTGAAGCATTTAAAATAATTAAGGAGAACCTTAAAAATGCAAGAGTTTTTAAATTAAATAAAGCGCATCAATCGAATGGATGACAAGACATGATAGAATGAATTTCAAGTATGGCTAAAATGGTTTAAAATAAAAATGTTAAATAAATTGCAATACGATTTTAATTACATAGTTACTTACTTTCTCGACTTTTTTATGTGTCAATAAAAAGAAGAATGAGCCATTTAAAACAAAACACTTTTAGAACGTAGGTACTTCAAAATGTACAAAATTCTAATATTTAAATGGCGCCCAACGTGGTGCTGCAATAAAACTATCCCTAATGAACAGAGTCTCTAGATACATACAGAATACATACATAATTTTCATTTTATTGATCGGGGATCATAACTGGACCATTTGCTGTGAGTTTGAAAACGTTTTTAAACTACACTAGCAAGACTACAGGTTTTATGCAAGGAGTGGTATTAGATGGCAAAATGTACAGTTAAAAATGGGGGAATATGTATAAAATATTCCTAATTACGTAATCCCGGCGGTAAAATGGGACGCAACAAGTAAACGAATGCTACAAGTAAGAACATACCTTTTAAATGTCGCCGCTACATTTTTCCACTGACAATAAATCGACTAAATCCTTCTTAAAATAAAACACACGCACATTTTAAACTTAGAACGTGCTATACATAGCCACTAAAAAAATCAGAAAAAACAAACGCTAGTTTGAAAATTTAAAATAAGAAGATAGATTTTGTTTTTAGTGATTATTCATTTTTCTTTTTGGTTTTTTATTTTCGGCCAGCGGTTCGCGTGCAAATTTCGCGAGAAACGTATTATTTTGACGGGCCGACTTGTATGGGAGCAGCCTGGCCTTTGTACGGGCTAGGGGCTGCGCGCATGCGTCAGATCGATCGCCGAAGCCCGTGGGGTTGAAGTATTCAAACCGTTCAGTTGGCGCTGGCACGCGGGCGGCGTTGTTAGTTTATGTTTTTTTTAAACAAGGGATACATACGCAATGATCGTAACTGGCGAAGTCTAATCTGGCAATGGGTGGTATAAGAAGTTCTATGCTATTTCAAATTTTTGCAGATATACATAGCTTAGATTTGCGAAAAGCTGAAAATTAGTTTACATGGAAAATTTTATAAGTAATTATAAATCTTTCGTATATTTCTAGTCGTTCTATCTCTGGAATATAACACAATTACTAGGGCCTTACTCTCCTTCATGACGATCGGTCAAAAGAGAGATGCAGGTTATGGCGTGAGAGAGCTGATCTTCCCTGCCCTTTTGTCCCTATGTCTGAGAGTCCTCCGCCTGGACATGAGCTCCCCTGGCCTACATGGAAATCTCTAGATAGACTTCGGACGCAGGTCGGCCGTAATAATTTAGGTGGGGATTCTTGGATGGCTCAAACTTGGAGTGCAAGTGTGGTTTTGTTCCCCAGTCGACGAAGCACATGATGTCGTGCCCTGCATGCCCAAACAACTGCACGCAGGAAGATTTAATGAAGGCTACTGACAACACCACAGTTGTGATGTGACGGAGTTTTGGGCTGACGCTGTGTAGGTTTGTTGTCGTCACGACAAGAAGAAGAAGGGCCTTTAGAAGTTTAGACAATAATAATAATGATCATATTATTATGTAGACGAGATTTTGTAATCGCTTCGCTATTTTAGCCTATGCGACTTTATCGAATCGAAACACAGGCGATGAATTTGGTTTCTTGGTAAAAAATATGTAACTTTCAAAAGTTCGCGCCAACAGAAACTATCATTGTTATAATAAATAAAACCGAATAACATAACTAAAGCTGCCTGTATGTATCTAAGGATGAACAAACTTAATTTGTACTTTAATTGTAAAGTAAAATAATAATCTCATTGGTAAAAGTTAAACATTTAACATTTGGTAGTTTCTATTGGCGCAAATTATACACCCTCGTAAGTTAAGTTAGTTGTTGAAATATGTCTCACTATCGTTTTTATGCCACATTGTGCCCATTGTAAGACATAAAGAATAGCATTCTCAAAATACCTCGTTTATCTATCGCACATTAGGCAACCTATGGTGTATCAATACACTTTCAAGCCATAATGACCCTTATAGTGGAATATTTAAGAACTATAATGGGTCATGTGTGAAAACTATTAACCAAGTACAGAGACGTAATGGTGATAATGACAGTTAGGTATTTTAAAACTGTTCATTGTCTTTAAATATGAAATGGTTGTTCAAAATGTATGATTGACACAGAAAGTTTGAAGAGCTACCTGGTCAAAATTTGCAATTGGCAAGCAAATCTGTACCATATTCCGTGTGCATACGATTTAAAGGTCGTCTCTACATATGCCCTAAAATTATTAGAGATGCAGTAACTTTGTTCGTCAAAACGCGAGTCTTCCACAGATTTTGTGTGGAAAGACGTATAATGACGTCACTAGTTCGCGAACTCAATTGACTAACAATTTTAGCGGACCTGCCACTACAGTGCACTGTGGGTGAAGTGACCTCTTCCAGATAATTCTGGAGAAGACAGCTGTTTAGCAATATGTAATAGGTATCACACTAGCGACAGAAAAAAAAAACGTTGCATTGACGTCACGTCACGGCAACACGCTGAACCAGAAGCTCGAAAATCGCTAGTGGGGGGGGGGCCCTTAGTTAGCAGGGGCGTAGCTACCGCCGTATAGCCGAAAATCTTTTGGAAATTAGATGGATTATTTTGTGTGAACATTTATCATTTGTTAATTAAATTCGCCTAAACCACTGTGACTGAATAGCATTTTAATTTCACACAGTGGTAATGTTAGCGAAACAGTACAAATCAGCGAAAAATGAAATCAATTATTCTCTAAAAGAATTACTCGTGATTCAATAAATTTTATACTAAGTGAAATTATAATTGATTACCTGATGATAGCAGCGCAACATTCTCTTGCAAAGGCACGTTCATCTTCTCCGTGAAGAATTGTCAATCTGGAATTTAAAACGTTATTTATTCATTAATTTATTTTAAATACATGTTTACGATTAGATATAGTTGTAGAAAATTATTATATGATGATTATGTACTTTTAAGCAGTATTAAAATAAAAAAAATTTAAATGTGATGATTACGTTAGCAGTTTTAAAATAAACTTAAATACACTTAAAATAACATAGTGAAGTTATTGTCTTTGTTCAGATACTTTGGTACTAAGTTAAGTGTTTCTTTCAAACATCATCAAACGATTCATTACTTTCTTTTTAAAACAAGTGATTTATAAAATAGTAATTTTATTGTGATGTAAAGAGACAAACTAGCTGGTTTAGGCCGAGTTGCACCACCTAACTTTGACTGAACTGGTGTTTTTTGTATGTAGTTTGGCAGATTTCTGACATTTGTAAAAGTTAAAGTAAGATGGTGCAAACCAGCCTTAGTATGTAGGTAATTAAGTAAAATTTATCAATAAAGCTCATTTTTGAACAACAATACTAGCTTAGTATCATAATTGCAAATACTTTTTATTTCTACATTTCTTCGTTAAATTCTATTTCATTGATGTTACTTTTTAGTTTTGTTTCATTACGTTAGTATATTTCTTTAGTATCTAAGTAACAATTATAAAGATTGACATTGAGTTACATTAATAATACTTGAGATTTGTGTTAACTTGTTAGAAAATAATATGTTACAACAATTTTTTTTATTTTTTTTTTTTTTTTTTTTTTTTTTTTTTTTTTTTTTTTTTTTTTTTTTTTTTTTTTTTTTTTTTTTTTTTTTATCTTTCTCTTTATTGCAATTTGTTTTTTCAAAAATAAGCCACTTCTTTGGTTGATTACTCAGACTATGTTTTCTTCGAGAGCCATACTTGTGTGAAAATTCATTTCACACGATTCTCTTGATGTCAGGTTTTAATTTTNAAAGTTGATTCGAACCTTGGACCAGGTATACGGCTAAGCAACGCAGTCGTGCAGTAGGGTGCAAGGAAGAGGAGCAGCCATAGTAGATAACACAGAGTCGTTCAAGAGAGTGCTGGGAAGAGTTTCAGCATCCGTAGTTAAGGATCGGCTGGGAACAAGGATAGGCAAATCCAACTCGTGTGGCATGACAGGGATACGCTGGTTAAGACGGCCCTTTTCAAGATTTGGGAGCCGTGTGGTGACGAGCCATTGGACGTAGAGAGGGTCATTAATTAACCGCTTGAGTCCCAGACGGCATTCATTAATGTCATAACAATTGATTATCTATTGTGTCTAGATTCGTGGGCCTTGAAGGATTAATACGTATATTTTCGTGCTTATTAAGATGTTCGTGCTCGCTTCAATGATATCAGCAGAACTGACTTGACTCAATCGATTATTGGGATCGATATGATGATTCGAATCATTATCATCTGAATCAATATTAAAAATAAGTATAAAAATAAAAAGAGATGGTGTAAAACCTATCAATGACTTTCCATTAGTTGAAAAACTGCCGATATTGCAAAATTAGATCATTTTTTTCGAAAAACGGAAATACCGGTATTTTCCCCTTAAATACCGGTATCAAAATACCGAAAATTTTGACCGGTATACCGGTATTTCGGTATACCGGTATACCGGTATCCATGCCCTAGCCGGGTGTGCTGAAGAGCGCCTTCCCCACTCAGAGCGTGCGCTAAGTTGTTAACATGGGCGGTCAGCTTCTCCTGGTATTTCAGGCTGTTCTGGGCTATTTCCTGCCGAACTGTTTTTAGGCCGAGGTCGAGGTATTCCAAACATTATTCGCAGAGCTTTGGTCTGGAATCTCTCCAGGATATCTATATTACTGTTGCTGGCCGTTCCCCACAGTTGTATACCGTAAGTCCAGATCGGTTTTATGGTAGTTTTGTACACTAGCATCTTGCTGCTAGGACTTAATTGTGATTGGCGTCCCATTAACCAGTTCAGTGACCGCAGCCTTCCATCCAGTTGTTTGCGCTTCGTCCAAATATGTTTCTGCCACGTAAGTTTCCTGTCTAGGTGCATGCCCAAGTATTTTGCGTTATTGTCTTGAGGGATAACTTTGCAGTTCAGCGTTACTGGTGGACATGTCTCTTTCCTGAGTGTGAATGTTACATGTACCGATTTGCTCTCATTGGCTCTTATTCTCCAACGCTGCAGCCACTTCTCCACTTCTGTCAAGTGTTTTTGCAACTGTGATGATGCTGTTTCTGGGTTGCTATGAGCTGACAGTAGCGCCGTATCATCAGCATATGTCGCAGTCGTGGTGTAATCAGTTGTTGGGATATCTGCTGTGAAGATGAGGTACAGTACAGGGCCCAAGATACTGCCCTGAGGGACACCTGATTTTATTTCGTGTGCTTCTGAGAGATCATCGTTGTACTTCACTTGGAAGCATCTTTTATCTAAGTAGGATTTAAGTATCCGGAACAAGCAATGCGGGAGATGCTTCTTTAGCTTGAACAGGAGGCCGTCATGCCACACCTTATCAAACGCTTGGCTGATATCTAAGAAGACTGCAGAGCAATATAATTTGTTTTCTAGGCATCTGCTAATGGTGTCAACTATACGGTGTACCTGTTCGATCGTCCCGTGTTTTTCTCGGAATCCAAATTGGTGGTTTGGTAATACTGTACTTAGGTGTTCTTTCATCCTGTTAAGCAATATTCTCTCAAACAGTTTGCCTTTTAATGGCGATGAACTTGTGTATTTTCGCCACAAGGCACACTGTTCCGCCAATATCACGTGCGCAGCTTTTACACAATGTAGGTATTTGAGAAATTTAAATTCAAAGGTATGCTAAGCAAAATACCTAAAACAAAGAGACATCACAAATAAGACAACACAATACATAAAAATAATACATACGAGTGAACACAAATGGGGAGGTTTAGTTTGGAAAAAGTTTACTGCCAACTCTTGCTTGTTACAAAAGGTTACAAATTAATTTTATTGATGTTAATGAATTTAACTAGAGATTTCAAAGTATGGGGATTAGTAAAGTTAAGGACACATTTAAGGTTAGTTGGAAAAGGGAATTTTTTGGGAAGGAAGTCATACAACGAATGGTCAATTTTGGGGCAGTTGAAAAAGATGTGATTAGCTGTTCCTTCATCCAAGCCGCATTCGCATATGGAGCTATCCTTGATCCGCATTTTTGCGAGGTGTACAGGGGTGCACGCGTGTCCTATACGCAGGCGACAGATAATGGACACTGTTCTTTTTGGTAAGTGGCGGTGCTTGAAAAACCAGGGTCTTGAGGGAATATCCTGTTGGATATCAGCATAATATCTGCCTACGTATCTCTTGGAGTTAACCCAGTGAGTATTCCACGACTTGAACAGGTGTTTACGTGGGAGCGAAGAGACATCATGAGCAAATAATCTGTAGTGACAAATGTTTTTTTCCGCTAACTCCTGTTCCCGTGGGAATTTTGCAATATCCTGTTGTAACTAAGCTTTAGGTTTACTAAGGTACCTGCATGCCAAATTTCAAGCGTCTAACTTAAGCGGTTTAGATTTTTCATACAAAATAATTTTCCCGCTAATTCCCTTTCCCGTGGGAATTTCGGGAATTCCTTTCTTAGTGCACCTCTACGGTACCTAAGCTACGTCCCTTCCAAATTTCAAGTGCCTACGTTTAGCCGTTTAGGCTGTGCGTTGATATGTCATTCAATCAGTTTCTCCATTCATATATTTAGATAAGATGTTATTTCTTCCAACAGGTCATTCGGTCCCCATCAGAGCACCACCCGGCTCTCTTCACAGAAGCGGTCTGGACGACCAGGCCAGCCCGAGAGAAGCTGGCGGAACTGCTCTTTGAGAAGTACCAAGCGCCTGCCTTCTTCTTGGTGAAGAACGCTGTGTTGGCTGCCTTTGCCAACGGGAAGTCGACGGCGCTGGTGGTAGATGCTGGTGCGAGTCAGACTTCGGCTGTGCCGGTCATTGATGGGTGAGCGTCATGATTATTCTTAATTCATAAATCATTTATTCATTGCATCATGTAGTACATTGTAGTATTACGAGGGCTGCACTAAAAGTATCGGGAATGGAATATTTCCACTGTTCCAGTCATATTAAAATCTATTTAATTGCAAACTCCAGGGTTTTAAAAATCGTATACCATTTATTTATTTAAAAAAAGATTCTCGGTCGTATCACAAGGTCTTGTCAAACTTGTTTAGTCGTTGAGAAAATGGAATTGACTCGAGAAAATTCACGAGCGATGATTTATTATGACTTTTGAAGTGGTTTAACACAAAAACAGTGTGTTGACCGGATGATTTCTGCATTTGGTAATGAAGCCCCATCCAAAACCACAATTTATCGCTGGTTTATTGAATTTCAACGTGGACGTGTCAAGCTCAGTGATGATCCCCGTCAAGGTCGTCCAAAAACTGCAGTCACCTAAGAAAACGTTGATGCTGTGCGTAAGCTGATTGAAGAAGATCGACATGTGATATACCGCGAAATTCAGGCAACTTTAGACATTGGCATGAGTCAAATACAAATAATCTTGCATGAACAATTAGGTGTAAAAAAGTTGTTTTCCCGATGGATACCGCATTCGCTCTGTGAAGATCAAAAAGCGGCTCGCGTTACTTGGTGCGTCAGATTGATAAATTTCTCCAAAAAATGCCCCTATAACAGGTGGTTTTTATTACTTTGTATTATTCTCTATCGTATTATCTTTGTAAAACCAAAAAATGCATGTCTCTATCCCTATCACAACATTTGCTGTGATCGTTTGAACAAAGGCCGGCCACAACATTATTTTCCGCTGCAGGTAGAGACAATTTTAATTTTAACTAAAATGCTTATTTTACTTCGAAATCTTTTGTTTTTATTTGAAATCTAACTTGTCTTTATCAAAATTACAAATCTAGAGCCATTTTCAGTTTCGTTCTTAACGAAGCGTTGAATGGCGCGCCCGGAGAGGCTTAGTTCAAACGATCATTGCAAACGTTGTGATAGGGATAGAGACATGCGATTTTTGGTTTTACGAAGGTAATACGATAGAGAATAATACAAAGTAATAAAAACCACCTGTTATAGGGGCATTTTTTGGAGAAATTTATCAAATAACCAAAAAAACACGAATTTTTAAGCAGATTTTTTTCAAAAAGTATCATTTTTTATTATGTGTTGGCATTTTTTGTGTATTTTATGTATTTTTTTAGTATCGCCTGTTATTTAGCATTATTACTGTTCAGGATATACCGCTTAGTTTAAAAGTTATTACGTTTTCTTTACAATAAGTAATCGGAAGAAAAAATAATCTATAAAAAATTAAAAAAAAATCTCAAAAAATTTTTGACCTCATTTTTGTCGATAAAAATAGGTCTAGTTTCATCTATTTTCATATGTACACTTTAACGTGACTCACACTGTATATATGTAACATTCTAACATTTTGTACTACCCTTTATTGCTGGCACTTCTGTAACACTGCGAAGTGAATAAAGGAATATGAAAACTGGCCCTTCAAGTATCTATGTATCGAGACACAATAGAAATTGTTACCGAGGCCTCATGCGACCGCTTAGGGTTTGGTGGATAATCAGCTCTTGTTCATAAGTTTTCGCCAGTTAAAATCTACTGTCTCTCAGTAGACTCGAACCAAGGAATCTTGGTTCGATTCGATTGGGGACGAGTCTATTGCTCTCTATTAAACACCACACCGCTCCGCACATCTCCGCACCGCCGCCGCTGTTAAATTAAATATTAAATTAACACTTCTTTGCTCCGCTCCGCCTTAGTGGAAACCGTGTCTTTTAGTTCCACACATTTCTCCTCTTCTTCAAAATAACAACATCATTATTTCTTTCAGCTACGCCATAACAAGCGCAGCCGTACGGTCGCCGGTGGGAGGCGACCACCTTGCCAACCAGGCGAAGGCCATGCTGGCGTCCATGCATATACACATGCTGCCTGTCTACAGTATACAGGTCAGTGTTAACAGCAGTAAACACTGTTGTACCACCTTCACACTTATAGCTGATTAATAAAGTATCGTACCATTTGATAATAAATAAATAAATATCCTTGGACATTTTACACTGCGCTTCTAGTCCCAAACTAAGCAAAGCTCGTACTATGGGTACTAGACAACCGATATAAACATACTTAAATACTTTTTTTTTGTAAATACATACATATTATACATAGAAAACACCCAGTCCAATACAAACAAATATGTTCATGCACACAAATGTTTGTACTGTGCGGGAATCGAACCCGCAACCTCCGGAATAGTAGTCCGTTTCGAACCACTACACCATACGGTCGGCAGTAACGCCATTACAGATTCTTAGCATTTTTTCATGTAACCATTGCACCTGTTTTTTATGCTTAACAAAGCAGGTATTAGACCGCAAACTCACCTGGTGTTAATTGATTTTTATTATTTTGTTGTTAATGTAGAAGTTTCGTGATGTTGAAAACGTTAGGTTTCACTGAATGGGATTAAAATATAGACCAAAACTAAAATGCCGGTGAAGTTATTTTTGAAATCCAGCAAGAAATGGCTGAGAAATTAATTATTCATTATTACCTCCATATTTTCAACCGACTTCAAAAAAAGGAGGAGGTTCTCAATTCGACCCGTATGTTTTTTTTTTTTTTTTTTTTCTATGTTTGTTACGCGATAGCTCCGCCAATTATGAACCGATTTGAACAAATCTTTTTTCAGCGTATAGGTAATATCTCAAGGGTGGTCCCATTTAAATTTAATAATAGAAAAAACAACCCCCAAGGGTGGAAAATTGGGGATGAACTTTTTTATACGCAATATCTCCGCCGATTATGAACCAATTTGAACGATTATTTTTTTGTTGAATAGGTATTATCAAAAGGGTGGTTTCATGCGAATTTGAAGAAAATTTTCACCCCCAAGGGTGGAAAATTGGGGATGAACTTTTTTATAATATACATTAAGAATATGGTCTCAATGTACTGCCTACCTTCAGTGGTAACATCAAGGTAATAATTAGTCAACTAAAAAGCAAGAAATAAGTTAAATTTTAACAAAAAAAATAAAACCGACTCCAAAAAACCTACACTAAAAAGCATAATAATAATTACTAATTACCTACTTATTTATTAGGACGAATTATTAATATTTATGTAGGTATACCATGATTGATACTTTTGGAGTCGGTGCAGGCAAACTTTACATGTTTCATAATCTTGGCACCGACTCCAGAAGTATCAATCATGGTATACCTACATAAATATTAATAATTCGTCCTAATAAATAAGTAGGTAATTAGTAATTATTATTATGCTTTTTAGTGTAGGTTTTTTGGAGTCGGTTTTATTTTTTTCGTGTGGAACTTAAACAGGCGGTGCCGTGACGTCAGGCCACCTGCTCGCATTGTCGAGAATGACACTATCGATCAAATGGCGCGAAATATTTGTTATGCGCAACTTTAGGGCCCTATAACTTCTTTATTTGTAGAGATACTTTCATGATTCTTTCACAATTATTATTAGTTTTACTTATATTTTCAAGTTTTATTAAAATAAAAAATTGGAAACTTCTCCATTGTAACAAAAACATCTTGTAAACTTATTGACTAGTTTGGGTATCATGAACGATTTGACGCTGATTGTACAAGCTTTGCTTTGGGATAAGATGTTTAACGCCCGTATTCACACTTAAGTAAAGCAGAAAATCGAACGCAAAGCGTTGAATCTCTGTGATTGGTTCGTGTGTCACCCTGTGCGTCCACGCGCACTGTGAGACCGGGCGTCGTTGAGCTTGTTTGTGAATACGCGCGTAAGAATATTTATTTATTATTATGTACTTCACAGAGCAAAGAAGTGATCCGCGAGAGAGAGAGGGCGCGCTACACGCTGAAGACTCTGCCCGCCGGTCTCACTCACTCGTGGCAGCAGTACATGCTTAAACGGCAGTATGAGGACTTCTGTCATTGCATCGCACAGGTCAGACTGTTTGTTCCCTTCTATACAGGGTGGAAACGATATGTGATCTCACTCGATTATTTCTAAACTATACAAGATATCGAAAAACTGGTTTCAGATCCTGAAAGTGCTTCACGAGCTCTTTCAAACGGCGGTTTCAAAGGTTACAGAATAAACTGGAGCTATCCGAAAATTCAATGTTTCTAGCTTATCGTTTCCAACCTGTATATCTATGTGTACCTGTTTTTTAGGGTTGATAGAATGTGATAGATGTTTTATTTACATATTTTAAAAATCAAATTTGTAAATCATGACGCTGCCTGCCGGCCTCACTCAGGCCTCAGCCTCGAACTTAGCGGGCAGCGGCGCGGGAGCGGCGGCGGGGCGGGAGCGGCAGGATCTTATGCGTAAAATCAAATAGACCGGTTCTCGAAAACAGCGTCGCGGCAGCGGCGCCGGAGCGGGCAACGAGCGGGCAGCGGCGAGGGAGCGGGCAACGAGCGGGCAGCGCACTCCTTCTTTTGCCCACAATAAATCGAGCATAAGGAATAAATTTGAATCGAAATAAAATTGTCGCCGTTGTTCAGACATTTCGTTCGCGAATAAAAACAAATATCTCGACAACACAACCCCGAACACAACACTTCGCCGCTAAAGCGCCGCGCGAGCTGCCCGCTTGTTTCGAGAACGGGTCTGCGTTGCCCGCCCCGCTCCCGCGCCGCCGCCGCCGCCGCCCCGCTGCCCGCTAAGTTCGAGGCTGAGGCCTCACTCGTGGCAGCAGTACATGCTGAAACGGCAGTATGAGGACTTCTGTCACTGCATCGCACAGGTCAGACTGTTGTTTTATTTAATACAGGGTGGAAACGATAAGTGATCTCACTCGATTATTTCTAAACTATACAAGATATCAAAAAACTGGTTTCAGATCCTGAAAGTGCTTCACGAGCTCTTTCAAACGGTACCAATAAAAGGTTACAGAATAAATTGGAGCTATCCGAAAATTCAATGTTTCTAGCTTATCGTTTCCACCCTGTATATCTATGTGTACGAGTTTTTTAGGGTTGATAGAATGTGATAGATGTTTTATTTACATATTTTAAAAATCTAATTTGTAAATCATGACGCTGCCAACTGGTCTCACTCACTCGTGGCAGCAGTACATGCTGAAGCGACAGTATGAGGACTTCTGTCATTGCGTCACACTGGTTAGACTGTTCTTTATTAAACCATAAATTTAATATTCCTTCCGAATAGAGCAGCAACCACGAGCCGTCAAACGAAACCGATTTTGGATGACACTAGATGTCATTTGTGTGTTAGTGTTATAGTTCCAAAATACTGAACTGTCCTATGCATGACATTGACAGTGGGGCGCCACCGTCAATACCGGATCGCTAGCTCCGATTTTTGCCATGTTGGAAACCATATAGTTGAACGATGGTAGCGCCCCCCTGTCATTGAGTTTGGCGGGACAGTTCAGCGTGGGTCATCTATAAGATTATTTCACTGTTTTGTACAATCAATTATAAATCAATCACGTTTTTGAAGCACTGTTTCTCATAAACATCCACGATTTCACTCACGTAAAATCTGAAAATATCTTAGTTCAAATTTTTAGCGTGCCACTACGTGCCTCTGAATTATCATATAGTTGCAAAAAACGGTTTTGTTTGAAGTGACGGCGATGGCATCACGCATCTGGGGGCACGGCAGTGCCCCCACCAAGTCGAGCAAAAAAGCAGCACGGCCGTACCATCCTTTTCTCGNGTGCGAAACTACCCACATTAAGAGCTTGCCTTTTTGGCCTTACACCTTATGAACCATCAACCGTCTTGGAGCATGATGACCCGGCGCCGCGGACGCACTCGCCCCAGTCGAGCCTCCGCCTGCTTTTATAACGACCGATGACCCTGTGGCCATACACATTGTTCAATGCTACAAAGGGTAACTGAATAATTTTGTTGTTTCGTATTTTTATACATTACACCAATCGTTCGTTCGTTGGTTCGTTTCAGCCAAATGACGTCCACTGCTGGACAAAGGCCTCCCCCAAGGTTTTCCAAAATGAACGGTCCTGCGCTGCCCGCATCCAGGCTCTTCCCGCGACCTACACCAATCGATATTGGTCTAAATACAAAGGCTAGTAAGAAAGAAATAAGTATCAGATCAAAATTCAAAGTGCATTTATGTAGATTCATTACTTGCTATGCTATTATAAGGTCAGAATAAAAGATCCTAAATAAACCTTAAGCCGGTTTGTTGACCGAACCGAGTCGAAGTGGAAATAAATGCCTACTTTATATATGAAGTATGACAATATGTCGTTTTTTCTATGCAACGACTCATATTAACTGACATTATGATTGTGAGTACTTATCAGTCTCACATTTTTTTGTTGGAAACTTACAAAGATCTTTCTACATTTCCGGTCGGTCGACCAATTACATCGACGGTCGACAACTATAACTCATTATAATCCTCTAAAACGGGAAAAG